TATATATAATATTTTAACTTTTAGACGGATATGAATGTAGAATAGTTTTTTTTGTTACTTGTATATGAAAGATAATTCTATAAGTACGTGTAATATACACACGTATATATCAATCATTTCCATAATATCGCAAATATTCAACATATTAAAGCATCCGATATGGCGTTTCGGAACTATATCGCAGATCGATATAATTAAATTGTTTAATCCCAATAAAAATGTTTCATATGCTGAATTATTGTTATATATAATCGAAAATATTCATTATTTAAATATATATATATATATAACTATAGATGTACCTTGAATTATTTTTCATTGATACATTTCTTCAATCAAATTAGCGTACATATTAGAGACAACTTTTCTTTTCAGTTTCAATGTTGGACCTAATTCTCCTGTTGGTATTGAAAAATCGTGCGGTAGAATACGGAATTTTTGTACTTTTTGTGCATTACTCGTTGCTTTTGTATTAGCTCTTTTAATAGCTTCTTCTACTTCCTTATATACCTAAAAAATAAAAACAAATAATTTTTAGTTATTATCATTTTTAGTTTAATATCAAATTATAATTTAATTTATAATATATAATTATAAATTAAATTGAAATGTATTTAGGGAGCATATTCAGGGAATATTTACAAGTGGATCTTTTGAATTCACGATTTCGCTAATCGTCTTTGCATTACTTCCTATAGATTTTAACCATCTTAAGGTATCTGAAGTCAACTCGTCTAATGGTTCACCAGTGTCTGCTTTTGTTTCAGCCTAGAAAAATATTATTTATTTTTATTTTGATATTCTTATTTGAAACAATTTTTTTAACGTATCGATCGTAATCTACCTTTAATGTAACTAAAACAGTCAGATATTTTCTTTTATCTCCAATTAGTAAAACATTACTAAGAACTGGTAATTCAGATAATATTAATTCTTCGATATGTACAGGTGGTATATTTTCACCACCTGCTGTAATAATCAGTTCCTTTATTCTACCTAAATAAGAGCAACAATAATGATCATTGAAATAATTTCATAAAAAATGATTAAGAAAAAGTAAAAATCATAATAATTACCAGTAATATATAATAAGCCGTCAGCATCTAATTTACCAAGATCACCACTGTGCAACCATCCTTCTTCATCTATGGACTCTTTAGTTTTTTCTGGATCATTCAAGTATCCCATAAAAATATGTCGACCGTACATGCAAACTTCACCTTCGCCACTTTCGTTAATATTTTCTAATTTTGTACGAAAACCAGGTAAAACAGTACCAACACTGTCTAGCCTTAATAGACAAAAAATTGTATACCTTTTTATGTCAATAACGTGAAGTTTAAAAATTTTTTTGTTTATTCACATTACCTGTAATTGTCAGGTAAAGTTATACTGTGCGGCCCACTACATTCGGACATACCAAATGCATCCATTATAGGAATATCTAGGCTCAAAAAATATTTTTTAACTTCTATATTTAAAGGTGCTGCTGCAGTGAAGAAAAATTTACATTTGTCTAAACCTAAAGTTATCTTAACTTTATTGAAGACAAGCCATTTAGCTATAACGTAACCCCAATGCTTATAATCAATACCATTCATTTTGTTCGTATTATAAAGAAGACCTTGTGCTTTAGCCCAACTTGCTATCCAAGCTTTGATACGCGAATTATTACGCGCTACCAACTGCATTTTTTCATAAATTTTTTCCCAAACTCTTGGAACACCTAAGAAAGCGGTTGGCTTTGCTGCAACTAATGTTTCTATCAAACTTCCTTTAAGAGCATTTTTATCAGCAAAATATATTGTGCTTGCTAAAGACATACTCAGAAATATGTCAACTAACTGTAATTATAAAACGATATTCAAATGAATCAATTTGCTTGATGATTATTATTAACTTATTTCATCTAATTGATATCTCTTACCTGCGCTGCAACATGTGATAATGGTAAATAACTGACCAAAGTTTCCTTAGCAGGTTCAAAATTGACACATTTCCTAATGGATCGTGTAATGTGTATAAGATTGTCATGATTCAACATAACGGCTTTTGGATTGCCAACTGTACCAGACTAGAAGATTCAAAATATTCGTCAATACAATTAGATAATGCGTATTAATGAAATCTTGATTATATCATTTTACTTACAGTGTATACTAATGTACAACATTCGTTAACACCAATAGTTTTTAGAATAGATTCTAATTTATCGTCAGATTCTTGTTTACCGATTTCTAATAGTTCATGCCACTGAAAAAATACAAAATTGATAATATTTTATTAAAATAATTGAATATACATACTGACGAGGGCAATTGTAACTAGAAAGTAATCATATATCATGTGTTTACATTATGGTTTATATACAAACTCTTTTGTAAATAATTTGAAATAAGAACTGTACGAATACTTCTTGCTCGTATATTTCTGCCGAGTTTTTCGTTTTCCTTGTCAATTTTTTAATTTATTCAAAACAATTATTTTTTGTTTCATTATATCTATTATAGAAACTTTCAAGAATATGAATAAATTCATTCTTTATAAAAAATTAGTTAATAAACTACAATTTCACAACATTTTATTTCAAATTGATCGGTGTACGAATACTTTGTACACCCATTGTATGTATATATTATACTGTTACATATTCTTACACTTAACACATCTTTCTCTTTAGGGATTCCTTCATATTGAATAATAGCTTTTAAATGGTGCAAATTCTTTCTAATTTGTAATATTTTTTCCAATTGCTTAGAATCCTCAACGACTATTATATTCGCTTCACTATGTTGAGCACAATATTGACATGCTTCCGCAGAATTCGTCGTGTAAATACCGGCAGCAAACCCTCTGAAACATTTATTATGCATATTATGATTTATGATATTTCAATAATGTTATATATTTTCATTTATTTGATTTCTTACCCGGCATATATAGCAGCGATATCGGAAATAAACCATTGTGGACTATTAAATCCTAAAATACAGACACTATGATATCTCTCTAAACCCAGTTTTAAAAATGCCTTGGCTACGGTCCTTACTTCAGTCTCATATTGCCTATAAATTATTTTTTAATAGTAAACAATGAATACCGTATACGTAATGTGTATCAAAAATTCAAGCTCTCGATCGATAATATTTTTAAAAAGCACTTACTTATAAGTGTATGTTGTATTTGTACCATCCAGTCCTGGTTGTGATATCATAGCTAAATGATCAGGATATTTCTTGGCTATTGATGATAAAATACCAGGTATGGAAACAGGTAAAGTTGCATTAATATCTTCGCCTAATTTTATCCTAACTCGACCATAACGTTCTGTTGTTACATCTACATCTGACATTAACACCTGATCTGGGCCTAAAAATTATAGAGAAAAAAATATTAGGCATTGTGATCATATTTTAGAGAAAATATGTATGTGATAAAAATTTACCTTCTAAGCCTGTTTGACTAGCTACCGCATATCGAATGTGAGGCTCATTAAGTCCCTATGATACACAATAAATAAAACATATGTTAGATTATAATAAATAATGTAATAAATAAAGTAACCGTACATTTAGATAAATGAAAATAAAATTGTTACCTTTTCAGTCCTGTTATAGCCATTAAGAATACTGTTCAATGAAATAGGCTGCACTGCAGTCATATTTTCTATAATGTAATAAAGAAAAAGAATAATCACAATAAAAATCCTAAAACCATTAGTGTCTTACTGCCAAATCAGATTTATTTTAATAATCATGTTTATCCAATCTATACGTTTATTGTTAACAATACTAAGAACAACATTTAAAAAAACATAATTAAAAAACAAACTAGATGTTTGTTATCAATCAGATAACATTTCTAGAGATTTAAAAAATATTATTAAGATAACATAAATTCAACTATCCCGCGCAATATATCATCCAACACTTTCGACCTATTGTGATTTATCGAATTTCCGCTTGGTCGAAGAATAATACTAACATAATTAAATGTAACACTGTTATTGCAATGTAACGGTATTTCAGAAAGATTGTTTGCATACCAATTAATCAAAACAAAAAAAGATTACAAATATGAATATAGTTATTAAAGCACATACATTATAAACTCGATTCGAATAGAAGAGAACTAATGACTCGCAAAAGATTAGCGCTCATTTTACAAGAAAAACATATATACACGATGATAACAATACATTCTTATTTTTTTATCTATTGCCATACGTAATGCACATCGGCCGATGTATGAGCAAAGTCGAAAACTAAATTATTATTGTTTCTCTCTTTTCTTCTTTTTTTTCCTTCTTTTTTCTGACATTTTATGCAAATCACATACAAATACTAATTCTATTTTTCAACAAAATTTAAACCATTTTGTACAATAGACTCAAAAGTAATTGCTTGTGGTACGCAATATAATTTACTTTTTAAATTTACCGCTTAGCTATTTTTAATTTTTCCTTTTCCCATTTCCCTCTTCGTATATATCTTCATGATTTCAAAAAAATCAGTTTTTTTTAATTTAATTTATTATTTAAACAATGATAAATATTTATCAATCAATTATACGTTGATCGTATATTACAGGAACTATTTTTATATCGATTTAAAGATATTCGTATTATTATAATTTTATAATAAATTTATAATATTTTTCAATAATATCGATCAATCGAATGACTAATGTATTCATGATTAATCAAGAGAAAATAAATAAAAATAATCGTATAGTAAATGCATGTTTGACTAATACCTGTCACATTGATTAAACTATACTTCATAGTTTTATTAATAATTCATATTTTTCAATCGATGAATTATACGATATTTTTCTATAAACGGTTGATAAATGCTATTATCAATTAATATTTGAAAACACAGTAAATAGTTACGCAAAGAACTCAAAGTTCACATTACCGAGTACGCAATACATTGTACATACTTTTTCTTTCACGTTCTATTCCTTTATGTAAAAAGCAATGCAAATTAAATGATAGATAATTTACAACTAAAATTTAAAAATCAAGTTTTTAATTTAATTCAATACCTTTGCAAAGTAGAATAACCATGGTTTTAGCAGTTTACGCCCGTCTCGTGTATGTCAAATTGTACTTAGAGAACTATTGAACTCGCAGAAATCAATAACAAAATATCGGGCAACCCTTTAGCGCGAAATTTAAATATGCTTCTTATGTTCTCTTTTATTCTGCGTTTAAATTAAAAACTTTCTATAATATATTTATACATATTATTATTATTATTATTATTATTATTATTATTATTATTATTATTATTATTATTATTATNTATTATTATTATTATTATTATTATTATTATTATTATTATTATTATTATTATTATTATTATTATTATTATTATTATTATTATTATGTATCTGATGAACATATTCTAAGAGTTCTGTTAAACATAAGTTAAACAAAAATTAAATTCAAATTTCAGCTCTTTATCTTAGAGGGCATGCCCAAATGCGTAGTTACTTTTTTATATTTGAATAACACAAATATTTTTAATACTTTTGTATTAAATACATACAATATAATAATGTATTAATTATTATAAATTAACCCTTTCGTTACTAACAGCTCATATACGCGAGTCGTCGACGATGCGTATGTACAGGCAAATTTATATGGAACGATACTATTACACAAGCAATAATAAAAGAGTTTATTATTTATGAATTAATTAACACATTATAATATTAACATACAATATATAATTAACATATAATTATAGAGTAAACAATTTTAACTTTAGTACAAATTTTATAGCCAAACGTTTTTAGGTTCACGAAATATTTGATACCAATTCTCCAAATTATTTATCTTATCATTTTTAGAGTTTTCTTCTTGATGTTTATTAGATTATAAAATATTCTTATCTTATGTTATTATTATGTTATTATATAAATATGTATTTTTCTAAAACAAGAAAATGAATAATCACGTTGAAAATCACGTGCAAGTAATTTGTTTTGATTATGTGAAATCGGGTATGACGTATCTATTTTCTTTTATTAAGTAACGTTTGAATAAATATGTCATTAAAATATTGGATAATTGCTGTTACATTAGATGACAAAAAAAAAATAGAAACACGCTATCAGATAGTATTATATAATGCTACAATAAGCAAGTAATAGTTGATTATGTTCACTTGTACTTCCATTTTCCGAATATTTCTGTATATTATTTATAAGCAAAAAAAGATGTAAAGTGAATTGCAATATTAATAATAGTATAAAGGATCATAAAAATAATACCATAAGAACAAAAAATATTATTTTAAGTTATATAAATCAAAATATATTATTTTAAATTTACTAAAGTATAATTTTTGGCCTTGGATCCACTAGAAACATGAAATATGAACAAATTCATTAATTAGAATTAACGTTGCTCAAAATTTTTAAGTTAAAATTTACCTAATCAGTAAAGTTATTAATTAATCGTTATGTCCGATAGTATAAATTAGTATAATAAATCACAGCTGTAATACAAAATTAAATATTGCCTAAATTAAACTAAATTTTGAACATCTGCTTTAATTAACTATTGCAATAAATTATTAAATATATTAACGAAAGTGAAACACAATAACTACTCACAATGTTATGCAAAATGAATCTTTTCACTGTCTTCTATACTGTAAATGTCCTTTATTATATAGTTTTTAGTTACGTTTTTTTACTATCTACATTTGTAATGACTTTTATCATTAATAGTGAAGAGATATAATTAAATAAATTGGTAATATATAATATTAGTTACTACAAATATAGTAATATTATACTTGAAATAATTTGAAATGAAATAGTAACATTTCTTGAAGACAATCATTAATTTCATTGTTTGCTTGTAGTAAACGTACATATGCGCGTGCCCGTAACCATTTTAAATACTTTACCGGTCGCAAGGTTTTAACAGAATATGCACGTTCGAACGGTCGCTTAGCCGCAGATTCTACTAGCAGATTCTAATAACAAATTCTAACAAAATTCTAATAACAAATTACTGTTCATATAATGATAATAATTGTTCATTACCATGTCAACCGATTAATAAGCTATCGGTCGGCGACAAAAAGCTGATTAAGGGGCACCACTAGTGTGAAATTTTGAAAAAAACAATTTTTTTTTATTTGCATATTTTTCCATAGTTTATATCTTTAAAAATAACATATTAAAATTTCAAGTATATATCTCACATGGTTTTTTAATTACAGCCATCTGATATTTCTTGATTTAAAACGATTAAATCAGTAACTGAAAATTTAAAAGCATTTTTCTCGAAATTACATTTTTCAAATTTGCTGCAGTTATAACTCGAAGACAAATCATCCGATCGATTTAATTCTTGTTGCAGCTTCTTTTATATATGTTTATCCATACCATGATTTTCCAGTTTTTCGATAGAATAAAAAATGTAATTTTGATAGGCCAAAAATCATCACATTTTCGCACGAAATTTTAAACTTTTTTTTAAAACTCCGTCATTTTGTTAAATTTCAATTTTTTTTTGACTGAGAGTCATGGTACAAGCAATTCCTTCTAGTTTAATAAACTTTTTGGTTTTTTGATTTCATGCACTGCGAAGGTCGCTATAACTACAGCAGTGGGGGGAGAACTTTTTTGGGCCTTGGGAGATTGTCAATAACTCGCTTAATTTTAAATTTTTTGGTCCAAAAATTATGTCATATATTCATTAAATATTCATGAATATCTCTTTAAAAAATTAAAACATTCCATGCAGTAATTTTCTTTAAAAAAATTCTCAAAAATCACCTTTTTTCAGGCGGTCAAATTAGTGATACCCCTTAATAGGCTTTTTTCAGTAAGCATCGGCGACAAAAAAGCCTATTAATAGGCTTATTTAGACCATTGAAGAATGACCATTCATATAAGAAGAGCGTATAGACAATTATTTTGTTATTTTATGTTAATTATATTATCAATCGTCACAAATATAGTATTAGTTGTCTCGAAAAGATTATAAAATAAGATTGTATACTCCATTTCATTAAAAAAACACGGGTTACTTCGTGATCCATCTGTAACAATACGAGACGCGCAATACGAGAAAATTCGTGAGCGGTCCTTAATATGTTAAAATACTGGACATTATTTGCATATTTATCGAAACCAGCTATAACTTAGTGAGAATTATATATATAAAACTGACAACCGATAAGTGTTAACCCCTTTGCCTACACGGTATCTGCCGATTGCGCGAGCCATAGTAAACAAGAATATCGGTCGCGCGTCTGCCATTCAGCTCTTCGACATGTGCAAAATGTATACTTTTTATGACATGTATATTTCGATGCAACAAAAGGAATTGTGCAAAAATAAACAAGGTTTGGGTACAAATAGTAATTTTAAGACGTCTATATAGGCCGCAATCATAATCAATATAACACGAATTCTTTACTACGAGTCAGACTCGCGGTTATAAGCTAAAAATAATTAATAAGCTAGCGCTCGATAAAGTGTTAAATTGAATTGTGTGAGAACACATAAATAGGTTCATAGAACTGAAAGGGTTAAGTGCGATCCAGATCGAAAACTTAATTCAATGAATTTCTTGAAAATAAAAAAAAATAAAAACAATTTCATTTTTATAATATGTACTATTATTCTTTTTATTCTTAAATTTATTCGATGATCTTGAGATGATCTTAAGCTATTTATAAATTTATTAACTACGTCATCGTGTTCAAAGGTTGGTGAAACATTGGAGAGTAAATCGCAAATAAGTCATGATCTCAAAACCGAACAAATAACTTGTAAGATAAAACATACATTTCTGTAGAATATGTAAAAATCGCTAAAAAAAGATCGTTCGGTAACAAAATAAAGCACACAAGCTAAAACAATTATACATAAACTTTATATAAATGAAACAAAAAAATTTTTTTAAGTCAAATATGAAATTTAACAAATTATTGGAAAGTTTTCGAAATGCTAGTTTCAAAATATACACATTTTCTTTTTCTTTTTTAAGCTTTTATGTAAAATAAAAAATATGAAATAATTTATCGTTATAAATAAATTAATAAAAAAGTAAAATACAAAATATATAAATAAAAAATATTAGCAGATTTGAAATGAAATAAACAACATTAAAATACAAGAATATCAAAAAAACGAAATAATAAAGAACATTGAATTACAAATATAATTTCAATCTTGAACAAGGGATAAGAAGGTCACGTTTTTATTGATCTCTTCAAATGCTTTATTAGCATAAGTTTATATACACAATTGTTTCCGTATAAATGTATATTAAATGCGTATTTATATGTATTACTATGTCTTATGTAAAGAGTAAAATGTATTTTAACAAAATAACAAATTTCCAATTATTGAGAATCGTATATGTGCATTTATTTTGCAGCTATCAGAAAAAACAAACTCAAAGAAAAACAAGGAATAGGTTGAAAGAATAATAGGAGTAAAGAATATAAAATGATTAAATATTTGCATAAACATGTTATAAAATTTAAATATAAATAGTTTAGTGAATTAATCAAAATAAAAAAAAGTAATAAGAAACTTACAAATAGACCGAGAAATTTATTTTTTTTAAAAGATAATTTAAATTAACTCATTGATCTTCGAATTTACAAGAGAATTTACAATAAGAAATTGTTAGTCTGATTATAAAATATGAAAATTACTATATGCAAATATAGTATAGTTTTATAAAAAAAAGTTTTATAAAAAGTTTTATAATATTATTATATAATATTAACATTATATATGTGTCCATGATGTGTGCGCGCGCGTATCAGGATGCTTGTACGAGTAAGTGAATACGTGTGTCCGCATGTTTATTAATATACATAATATACTTCAGTATCAATAATTATACGTATAAAAACAATGTCACGATTAAACAATATTAACTCTTATTCATCGTCAACTTTTTTCATACGATTCTCAATAGTAGCTATTTTCGATTTACAGTAGGCCCTCGACTTTCGCACGTAATTGGTTCCTGAAAGTGTATGCGAATGTTGAATGTTCGAAAGTACAGGGATGTAAAAAAATATGCACCAAAAACTATATTTTAAAGTATTTATCTAAATTAGCAAAACACACAACACGTTGACGCACACCATAATGCAAGACTGAAACTGTTTTGTTCTGTTTATCCGAACAGCATTGTCATCTGATGGCTAGTCTAACGTCCCCTCTCAGGGGACATCCGATCGCAGAGGATTTAAAGAGTTGAATCAAAAAATGTTCAAAATAGCGAATTGTGCGAAAGTAGAATGCGTGCAAGTCGAGGGTCGCCTATATATGCATATACATATTTTTTTGTACGATTTCTTTTATGCGGTCCCTATCCTCCGCATAAAAACAGGTTTTACTGTATACGTAATCACATTTAAATGCACGATCGTTTTATTTTTACATGAAAAAATCTACGTGGGTAGAAAATATTTTTCTTATTCGATCAAAGTAACTTTTACTTTTTAAAATACAAGTTTTTTCTTTTTTGTTGAGGTTCGAAACTTTTCAATCCACCCACGAACGTGAATGAAGATCCATGAAAAATAAAAAAAGATTTAGGGGCTAAATTCTAGTAATAAAAAGTTCAAAAACGAAACTAGCGGGAAGCGCAAAAATTTGTACAAATTTGTGTACACATATACACATTTAATTTTTATCTTTTTTAATTTTTCTTATTTTTTAATTGTTGTTTCTATTTTTTTTATTTTTTTTTTTAATGTTGTATATAAAATTTAATTTGTAACATAAATCTTTCGGTACTTACTAAAATCTAAATTCCGTTAGCGTAGTAACTCTGAATCCGCGATCGAAAAAAACCGGAAAAGGAAAAAAAAAATAATAGAAAGAATCTGCTAGCAAGATAACATCAGAAAATTAATCGCGGTTTTTCATGATAAATTATTAAACACAAACATATTAACATCCGTACTTATGTGAATGTAAACTAACGTATTTAAAAAGAGAAATTTTAGTCATTTTTTTTTCATTTCAAAAGAGAATAAACAATTAATAACAAACATTATTTCACGATACGCTAAAACGAATTAAAAATCAACATAGAAAATCTAAACGAAACTAATCGTAGCATAACTTAACTTGATATCGATCAACGATATTAAGAAATAAGTAGAGCGATAATTATACGAAGATAGATAAAAAAATAAGAACAAATAGATAATAAACGAAAAGATTCTAAATTTAGAATTTAATTGCAAATAATTTAACCTAATATCGATCGACTAATGATTAAGAATTAATAATGAAAAATTTGAAAAGCCATTAAGAAGAAAATTTATGCAAAACTTATTCTCGTTCGTGACAATTTTGGTCAAAGTAGATCTATGATGATTTAAATGAACTGGCTTACAGATGTACTTGACGTTATTGGAATAAGGAAACTCACCTGTTTATTTTGTTTCGTTTTAACGACTTCGAACGTCCTGCAAAATTTAAAAAAAAAAAAATAATAATCGAAGATAAAGTTTGCGTTTTTCTCTTTTTTTTTTGTGTTGTTTTTGTTGTCGATAAATACACTATTAAAATAAGCTATTTGTTCTCAATATCGAAAAACACTTTCGATAAGTCAGACGGTCACGCTACTAATGCCACGCAAATACATTGCTTGGTATAACACTAGAAGGAGAAGAAGACCACGTGGTTAAGAAAGAAATACGTGTACTTTGTAGAGTTTAGATTGCGAATATTGGCATAACATTCTGTTCACTTTTCTTTTATATATGATCCTTAATAAAGACCGTTCCCAAAGACGTTTATCATTTATTTCATTCTGTGCCACCAAAATCTTATATTCTCGAATTTCGATTGGTTTGAAATATCTAATCATTTGAATGATTGCATTTATATTTCACATTGAAGCAAACAAAAGGAAGAAAAAAAGAGATTCCACGACTTTTTAAACATAAAAAAAGAAAAAAAGCAGATAGAATGATCTTTGAACTATGGTATGGCAAGTTGTATATTCAAATGTTATACAAAAACCTCTTTAACACGTTGAGCGCGACGCAAATTCTTACGGAAATCTTCGTCAAGCCACACGCAGCAAAACGAAAAGTTAAGCGTCAGGCACCAGTGCTTGACAGGGCCTAAACGGGAAGTTCAGTGTCAGTCACTGGTGACTGACGTGGCTACGGAGGCTAGATACAAGGAGGACGAACGCAATGCTTTGGAAATGTACGAAAATGACGGGACAGATTTTTGCCACTAAAGCGCGTTAGTGTGACTAAGATCAGGTTTTTAAAACCTTGTTTATTGTCACGGGAATGTAACTATTGTACTCACGCGTTAAAGCAATAAGAAAAAATTTTTTATTATTTTACAATTATTTCCAAGATATTATCGTCAATTTGTTATGTAAATCTATTCAAGATCATCTTACCTAGTCGCAGTTGAGTAAAGGATGGAAAACTAAATTAAAAAAGTTCAATTACAAGTAAATTGTAATTTATTATCGTAATTTGCATTTTTTACAAGACTAGAAATTTCTCTAGCATAAGTAGAGTTAAAAAACAATAAATAATAGATTTAATAAGAATAATAAGTTTATTAATAATTTATGACAGTTTAGAGTATTTACGAAGTTTTTTTGTTTTCAACTTCCGATCGTTTAAAGTACGATTAATTAAATTTACTAAGAAATTTCCACGCATGATGATAAAATTATTTAAAATTTTAGCCATAAGTTCTTTGACATGTTTATCACAGCCTAACATTGGTAAAAATTTTGCCTTTGAAATTTTTTCCAAAATCTGGTTCACTGTATTTATTTTAATTGTCTTAGTACCTACGAATTCATTAATATTTTCACTACATGAGTTTTCGTGATTCACAATACCATTCTCAATAATTGCATCAATGTCATTAAGCCAATTTTTTTTTAACGAATTCGATACAATCAGAGATTCCTTTGTTTGCATTAATGACTGAAGAAGCTCACAAGCCGTGACATTAGACCCTTTTGGAGGGGTGACTAGCGAATATGAACAGAGTAATCGGAAAACCTGTCCAAATAGAATGGTGTCTGGATGATCATTACAGCGATAAATACTTCTCATGATACCAAAATATTTCTGAAAACGATAAACGTAAAAATTTTAAAATAGTAAAAGAACGATAAATTATACAAGATAAGAACGATAATACATACTTCCAGTTGATCTTGATTAAGGTGAGACGTCATTAAATATTCGTAGTTGCATTCTTTGTGTATTGTTTTTTTGGTATTAATTGCTGGTTTAATCCACTACTCCATAATTTTATCCAGATCAGGGTGCTTTTGAAAAAAGAAAATTATTACGTGAATTGCAACAGATTGAAGATAGATAAACGTAGAAAGATAGAAGAAATGTAGAAGGATTTTGTAAAGATAGAATTCTGCAAAAAAAAAATTAAACTTTTTACTTTGAGTTTGACTAACCCATTTGCATCATTGCATTTTTTTATATTAGTAATTAATAACTATCAATTAAGGTTATATTGCCTGTGGTACAGTGAATAAAGACGTATTTCTCCGATTTAATTTAGCATTCTTATTACGATCCTTGACTCGTCCACTTATACACCCATGAACAATGCATTTCTTTACCATTTTTAAATAAATATTACTTTTTATAAATTAAAAAAACATCAATACAATTGCTAATGATGCAGTATTGTCAACAATTATCAATGAAAAATATGACGTTATAAACCTGACTTCAGCGAACATAACGAAACCTAGCGGCGTATTTTCGAAAATAATCTTTCCTTTTCCTTCCATTCGTATGTGCTAATTATTTTCCTATGTCGTTCGCCCTCTTGTTATCTGGCTCCACGAAGGATAGATACCAGGAGTCCGAACGATATAGGATTTTTCGCATTTTTTGTGATAATCATTTCTTGACCCAGATCATAGTTCTCTTTTTGGCCACTGGCTGCGCAAGTATTTAGAACGTACCGATACTATTATTATTATTACACGTAAATTAAATATAAAATATTAATTTATTTTTTTAGAATTATTTTTATTAAAAAATGGGAAAGTGTTGTGCCGTTTATGGTTGCCTTAATGGCCGAAAGGCAAGTGAGAATTTAGGAAAAGTGGCTTTATTCAAAGCACCAAAAGTGGAAAACCTCAAAATAATATTAAAAATTTTATGTTAACCAATAATTGATTATTACATCTGTGTAGTTTTTAAATAATATTAATTCCACGTTTCTTAAAATATTTTTTTTCAGAGCTGTCAATAGCAACAAGACTTCCCGCGTAAGTATTTAAACGAGTACTCTGTGAAAACAGCGCGCCCTACCGGCAAAATATCTTGTCCCCTAAATTGACACCATTCTTTCAACATTACATTCGGACTCCTGGTATCTATCCTCTAGAGACCCTGTAGGAGGGACGCGCCATTTGGATTTCAAGGCTGAAAATGTGAGGGGACAGCTTCCGTTGCATCGCGCAGCCATGTTTATCTTTAGGATGTATTAACGGCTGTAGTTAATTTAAGTTTGGAATACTAATAGTTTTTATTGTGATATTTATGTTTAATTATTTTGTTTTTTTTTAGTAGTTTCTATAAGTGTAAGTTTAATTTACTTATTTAATAATTACAAGTATAAATGTACAAACCTAACCTATAACTTATCGTTTGTTTACAGACTTATTGTTTGTGATAAATAATCATGGTTCGACAGTGTATTCTTAATTACTAATATAAATTAATATTATTATTATTTATTTATATTAATTTTTAATATAAATTTTTAATTATCATTAAATATAATTCATTTTTTTCTGTATTTAATGCAATTCATTATTTCATAATTATTTCAATGTTTGAATATTTCGCGCGCAATCACCAGATTACACGAGTTTCTGTCCCCCAGCAATCTACATGGCGCGTCCCTCCTATAGGGTCTCTACTACCCTCCGTTTCTGGCTCCGTGGACGTGGCACACAATGTGTTAATTTTCGCAATTAAATCCTGTGTAATTTTTGTAGACGTCTTTATAATTGATTATTTATGTCTGGTTGTAATTTATTTATTATTAAAAAATACTTTAATCTTTTATGGAACAAATATAAATATTGAAGTATAAATAAAAATAATATTTTAACTTTACTATATTATTATCGTTCGTATTTGAACAGAGTAGTCATTGACGCATGTGCAATCGTATATTGCTAACAGTGATCCCATTCGTATGATAATTATCGTACGCGTCACATAATTTGAAGCATTGTACGATCCAAAATTTAGCTTGTACGATCCAAAATTCAGCTTGTATGTAATTAACGACAATTCGAAATTTCGATGTCTTGATTTTGTTTTTGTTCCGCGATTCGGTTGTCGGTCGTAGCGCACCCTACCGTACACAGTTAGACAATTTTTTGATAACCACAGCCAGGTAACAAGTGAAAATAGCTCGGAAACCAATCAAAAGTCAGGAAAACCTGAAAACTGAAAAACAGGAAATAGGAAAAAGAAAGATACGGAAACGAACTTGAGGACCCAAAAAAAAAGAAGGTCATCAAGTTTGAAAAAGTTTGTACTTTTACTCTTTTTGCAGATTTGAAAATGTAAAAATTATAAAATTTATAAATCTAAAAGCTAATCTTCAGAAAATCAGGAGTATCAAACCGAAAATTCCAAATTTTTTCCTGTGCGTACGATAATTTTTCTGTGTGTACGATAATTTTACGGCCCTGTGTCGATCAGACAAGCTAAAGTCTCTGGGATCACTGATTGCTAAAGTCCAGGATACATTTTTTCTTTCCATATCTTTTTCTCCATCTAATAGTCGAGAACATTTTAATATAATCTTCAATAATATATAAATATATATATATATATATATAAATATTTATATTTCGATTTATATTTAGTGATATATTGAAATCGAATTAAAAATGCCTGGTAAACCAATGGAACCAACTGGAGATACGTTACAGAAATTACAAACGGAGCGTCCATCGAACGGAAATTATCCGCAAGTAGTACGAGAAATAACGCAAACTGATCATTTAAATAAAAGATTATTGGTATCGGTGTTAGAAAGAATGAAAAAATCTAACGGAGATTTCGACGGTTTTATGGAAAAAGAAACGACTAATTCTCAGGAGAACGATGATAGCGAATTTTAGGTTATGATTTGTTAATTTTGTCGATTTCGTTTTTCTTGAATAATTCGAAAGATTACAATCGTATAACAACGAAATATTGCTTTATTTTATTATTTTATACTATATTTAATTACATTTATATTTATACTTTGAATCTACGAAGATTTGTTGATATGATTACGTTAGCAGATTTTTCTGATCATGAAGATGAAATATTGGCAGAATATGAGAGAAAAGATGAAAATAGAGACGAAGAGAAAAATGATGAACTTTTAAGCAATGTAGATGAAGATGAAGATGAAAAAAATGTCGTTTCAAGAAGAATAGATCCTTCTAAATCGCAAAGGGCCATCAGTCGTAATCCCATACCTAAACTTAATACAGAACGTTTAAAAGGTCCTAAAGGTATACATACCATAGAAAAACATTTTGAAGGATTTAAGTTTTATGGGAAAGGAAGAGAAAAAATGGATTTAGATCGCATTATGAAAAGATTGGAACATTGGGCGCACAGATTGTTTCCTAAGTTGGATTTTGATGACTTTTTGGAAAAAACTGAAAAGCTTGGTTCTAAGAAAGATCTTTCTGTATTTGTGACCAAATATAGACACGATATGATATCATTAGATGATCCTGAAATCATCCAGAATAATTTAAGTGACGATGAGCCTATGGATAGTGAACCTTCCGCCATTGATGCATTTGACTTATTAATTGCAGAACAAATTGAAAAACAGAAAGAAGTTTTGGTACAACATAATCTTGACAAAAATGATACATCTGTTAATGATCATTCCAATGATATTTTTTTTGAAAATACATCTACTCAATGTTCTACTCAAACTGATAAAATCGTAGAAACTAGTGGATCGCAAATTAATACTCCAGAGTTAAGCTATGAAATAAAGGAAAGAATTGAAAGGAATAGACTACAGGCTTTAGAACGAAGAAGACTTGCTAAATTAAAAGCTATGGAAGAAACCAAGAAGAAAAATGAAATAAGAGAAAATGCAGAAATATAAATATCGAAATAAAGAAATACAAATATAGTGAAAGTTTGCGTTTACAAAATGTTTACAGGTTTTATAATGATAATGAGTATTTACAATATTTCTCAAAAATTTATTCACCCATCTTATTTCTTACATATAAAAAAACAATTCTTAACCTTTATTGGACGTTAGTCACGTCTTCCATGACTAATAGTATTTCGGCATTACGTAAAAGTGATAAATGAAATATGTATATGCATATAAACCAAAATCGCAATAACCTAATGAAAATCGTATGAAAAAAGCTTACGACCGATAATGATTAATATACTTATGTCATTTCTCATTGAACATTAATATAAATATAATAATTTTGTATGTTTCGTATGTTATAAAAAAAGAATATAATCATAAATAAATTATATTATTTCATAGTTACGTTCTACGTTTTTGTGTACTGATATATAATACATTATTACCACGTATAAAAGCATCACCATATTTGTCTTTTAATTGTCCATTAACATATTCCTCCGTTTGTTCTAATGCTATATTCATGTAGCCATCGAGACAAGCTAATACGCCTATAAATATTCACACAATTAATACTATATTATGATTGTTCTTGCATTCAAAATACAATTAAAATTAATAAAAATACAGGTGTATATATTATACATATACCTCTATAATCCACTCCGCTATTTAATTTAACAACAACGGGTCGGCCATGAATTTGTTGAATAAATTGCGACAATGCTTCTTTGCGGCTCATCTACAAAAGTAAATATTTATAAATGAATCATGATCGTCGATGAATTGTAAAATATAAAATGTACCTTTGTTACATCTCTTCAATGAATTTTTTTAACATGTAAATATTGAAATAAAAATAATGATTAATAAATAAATAAATGTGTACTCACGACTACTAAAATATGACAAATTTCAGACTTAAATTTTAAAGAGCAATTGTAAGATAAAATGTTAAAACATTAAATAACAAAAACTCAAAGACAGAAACTCGATATTTAAACGAATATTATCGATTGTCATAGTATTTTATTTAGACGACGTTAGGGGCGCGAGTATCGCAAACTTTAAGAAAATAATATCGTATAAAACATAAACTTTTATGTTTAGACATACATATAATTTAACAATATATATTTAAATATAAAAATATCTTAAAAATGATCTTAAGAAATCTTTTCGGACAACCCAAAAAAATGAAGACAAAAAGTAGTTGCTGATTAAAAAGTTCAAACAATCGATTTAAATGCAATCTAATTTTTGTAATTAATTCCTTTGTCAAGAATGAAATGTAATTTGTAAAGAAATTTTGTTTACTTTTGACTAAACTAATTATATATTTTTGTAGAATAAATTGTACGTTGATGTTGAAATTGGAAGGAAGATAAAAAGAAAGAAAGAAAAATAAAAAAAAAAATAGTGTATTTGCGTGAATTCGTGGAAAAACAAATCAAGTGCAATTTCATTTGTTTTATTATTCATGAAGTACGTCATATTGTATTATAGTTTTAAAGTAAGCATTTTTTACTTTATTGCCTGCTTTCTTGCATTTCTGTCTCCTAAGATCCTTCAGAGAGGTCGATTTGATAGTGGGTTTATGATTCACTAATTGACAGTAGTTTAATTCGTGCGCGTACTTCTTTGTTCTTTTTTTTATGTTAAAAAACAAAACAAAAAATATATAGGATAAAGTGTATAAAAATTTGTAAAGATTTTCATTCAATATTATTAATCAAACGCTTGAATTTAAACAACAAATATAGATCATTTAATTACCAACATTATCGCTGTTAACTTAATGCTTAATAAAAAAAAGAAAGAAACAAACAAACAAAAGAGAAACCAAAAGAATAGTGTTCATGATTTTTTTGTTCAGTGATACTTTTATGTAATAGTTTATATTACATATCACAATGAAAGTGTAATTACACGTATTATAATATTAATATTTATTATTATTTCGGTATATGAAGATTTCTTATATTTGTTTGATATGTTATATTGGTTGCCAAAAAAACGTTTAATAAAAAGGTAACAATTTCTTTAGTTGTACCATGCATGGTAACAAAGGATAAAGAATAAATACTTAATAGAATTAAGATAACTTCTAAATACGTAAAACACAGACAGTTGATTATTAAACAGGGACAATATTTTAACACAAAAATAAATTCACATAATATTATATATATATATATATATAACAGATAAAAGATAACAAGAGAACTATAAAATTATATGAAAACATTATATATAATTATTTAAATTATGTTAATAGCATTATGATATTGTTTTATGATTATCTTGGGATTATACATTTGACAAGCAAAGTAACATTAAAAGACAATTCTAGATTATTCAACAGACAATCTTCTAACATTAAAATAAATTCACACTTATATAATAAATAACAGGGGTAAACAAAATTTTATATTTATTTTATTATTATTATTATTATTATTATTATTATTATTATTATTATTATTATTATTATTATTACTATATGATTATGTTTGACTTATGTACTAGAGGAAGATTTTGAAATTAAAAAATAGAGAGATTATGCAATTACTTTTATTATCTCTGCAATGTAAACTTGTGGAATAAAACTCCAACAAACTATCTATCAGATTATTTATTTGAATTTTTGTTGTAGTCATAAATATTAATATCTATTCATAAAATAATATTAAAATACATCTACTTGATATATTAATTGATAACACATTGATTGATGACACGTTGATTGATAACACATTCCATACAAAAAATGTGCTTTGATAAATAATAAATAACTTCCCTTATTATACAATCTTTTTGCTAATTAAAAGTATTTTACATCACAAAAGGACTTATGAAAAGGAATTCTTAAGCTTTGGTAGCTACTAACAAACAAACAATGCGATCGACTTATCTACTCTTAGCAGCGGTGATACCATTCATCATCCTTAATATTTGGTACACAGGAATGTAAGTTGCTTTGTTGAAATCAATCAATCAAAAACTTCTGTGGTTAATTATTTTCTGGTATCAAATGTTTAATTGTACTCTTCTTTTTTTGCTGTCTGTATTTATGGCTAATCAAATTGTATAATAATCCTAACAACATTAATTTATAACGCTTTCCCAACATATTTATTCCAACTTGGAATATAACATATAAGTATATACTATAAATAGGTGTAATTATCATTTTTAATAATATTTTTTCATGTTATTTTATTCACAAATGTTATATGTATGCATTTATAAGTTTTTTTAATAAGATCTATATACATTTCAGATGTTTATGGTGGATTATAAAAATATCTATTGTAACATATATCATTTTATTTGGTATACTACCACTCATATTTCATTACTCTTACACAGTACAAAGAAAAATACTTTTCTTAAATTTTGGTAAGTGTTTGCCTTTTTATAAATCACCGATTCCAACAAATCTATTACCTATTCTGTAAACAATAAAATAAATTTGAATTTTTTTAGTACATTGGCCACTTAACACAGATTTTTCAAAGCCAGAGGATCTTGGCTTGAAGGGAGTTAGGAATTTTTACTTGCATACTGACGAACATGTTAAATTAGGAGTATGGTAAATAATATGAGAAATCTAATTATTAACAAATTAAACGCTATGTCAGTCCCTAAGAACCGACTTTAGACTTTCCATTCAATCGCGCAAAATCGACTTTCCATTAATAACTGATAGATCATCCTATTTGCTTAACAAAAGAGGCTTGGTGCTCAATGTGTCGACTAATTAATGTTATTTTTATATTTATATGTATTTACAGTATTGTATAATTGTTTTTAGGCATATATTGCCACAATCATTAACAAATGATTCATTTATTGGAACGAACGAAGCGTTTGAAGCTTCATTATATGACAGTAATAAACCAGTTTTTTTATATATGCATGGAAATAGTGGAAACAGAGCAAGCAGACACAGATTAGAACTTTATAAACTTTTCCAACATTTGGATTATCATGTTATATGCTTCGATTACAGAAGTAAGTGTAAAGATTTTTCAAATTTATTTTCTGATTCATTTGATAATCTTAAAAAATGTGATATTTAGGTTACGGAGATAGCGATGAAGCAGATCTTTCAGAAATAGGTATTGTCAATGATACTAAATATATTATTAAATGGGTAATGGCTAAAGTTAATGGTAGTGCGCCTGTTTTTGTTTGGGGACATTCTTTGGGTACTGGGTAAGAAATCGAAACATTGCTTGTAATATGTTAACACTTTGACTGCTATGCAAGTTTTACATGTTTTGTCGTAGAAGTCACACTTCTAAGATAAAATATAAAATAATGTAGTAGCGCCAGTAATGAATGACCCTTGTAGCTCCTCTGAAAAAGCAAATGTCAGTTACAAATGATTAATGTTGCAGTCGACTTGTTAACTATTTTAAAATATGTGTTTAATATTTTGACGTATAAAATATTGTAATATGAATTTTTTGAGTATAGGGTGTCGACGCATGCATTAGCATTATTATCTGCTATGGATGTAATACCTACAGGTTTGATACTCGAATCACCTTTCAATAATATTGTTGATGAAATAAGTGAACATCCATTTGCCCAGGTCTTGTTTATTTATATATTTTTTAAAATAAGCTTCTTCATTTTGTTAATTTCTAATTTTTTATTTATTTTAATATAGATGTTTAAACATTTACCATGGTTCCATTGGCTAATTGTCGAGCCTTTCTGTCATAATGGTTTACGATTTGAATCGGACAAACACATTGAAAATGTTACATGTCCTATTGTGATATTACATGCTGAAGATGATAATGTTATTCCATTTTATTTGGGTGAAAAGGTATATTTATATTATATACACGATAGAGGAAGTACTGAATTAATTAATTAATATATATTACTATACTATATATATATATATATATATACATATATATCTTTTAGTTATACAAAGCAGGATTGAAATATCATAACAATGATACGAATCAAATCAAAATGTTTCGAATAGATGCATCATATGGATTTGGACATAACTATATTTGTCGATATAAGGCATTACCAAACATAATTGAGTAAGTAAATAAAATAAATACCATTTCGATTATTCTTCACTCAATGCAAAATGTTTTCTTACAGCGGACAAAATATCATTGTCATGTTTTGTTTTTAAGTATTTCACAGTCGAAAGTCTAAAGATTACCTTTTATTTAATCTTTGTTTTTAGGACATTCGTAACAAAGTTACAGACAAACAAGACTGAAGAAAATAATTAATCCTTCAATAGAATTGCTGTGCAATATTTCTAATAAATATTTTATTTGGTATTTTGTACATTGATAAAATGAATGCCATATGATTGATTAACTTAAAAAAAAAAGTATTAATAACATTTATGCACTAAACGTAAGACATTCTATTTGCAAAATACTCATTTACAAGCATGAATGTAATTATTTAAACAGTAAAAACAATTTATTACATCGATTATAAATTTATTACAAAATATTTAAACATGCAGTTTCTAAGTAATACGGAAAATTTATTTTTATATATGGCTTAATGAAAAGTAGTTTTCTTGTGTTAACATAAGTTTATTGTGCAGACTCAATGTTCTTTGTGTAAAAAAAATAAGATGAAATCGCAAATATAATTAATACTGTGATAGTTGTATTATTAACTAGAATATATCTCTCATGTATTATCTTTATTTCATTCATCGACTAGTAGAATTTTTCTGTTTTTTCTCTTTTTTTGTTTTAATATAATCTCAAGCAGAAGAGTATATTTGATTCTTATAATATATACTTATATTCAACATGATTATGTACTTATAGTTTTATTGTAGCAAAAAAATATAAATATTATATTAAATAAAATTCAACAGGAGTTTTGTTTAAATTTATTCTAATTTCAATTTTAACTTTTAAATGAAAAAAACAGTATTTTTTAAAGCAATTTTGTTGACAGAAAATAAATCTTTTTTAAAATTCGAAAAACCCGCCTTCTCGCACAAATTTTCATCTTACAAATAAGATCTTGTTTATTAAAATCTCTTAAGAATTATCAGAACATTTATTGCTGCCATAAATCCTTGTTTTTGACATTGTTAAATATGGATAGAGAACAACAGTCTTAAGCTTCTTTTCAACAAAACCTTAAGATGCTGTCACAATGGCGATAAACGTAATGGTCGATTTATATTATTTTTAGTAGAGTTATTATTTTTCATTACATATTCAAACGTTTTGTTGTATATATATATAATATTTAAATAATTTAGTAAAATTATAATGGAAGTTATAAAAATGTATATTTATGATTGGATAAATTCTAATGCACCTACATAAGCTACTATTTGCTTTTGTGTCATATGAGTCCCATAAAGGAAATTTATCTTTATTCAAGTTACAAATCTATTGATAAGGGTCAAAATAAATATTTCCTTTGATAATAGTGTAAGTTTGACTCGATGCTTTTCGGAGTACTCAATTCCACATTGAAAATGATTAGTTTATTTTAAAAATACTTTAACATGTAATCGTGATCATTATTAAGATCAATCATATATTGATCGACAAATTTATACGCAAATGTATTTAATCAATAATTAGTTCGATTTAGTTCAGTGTTATTATATGTCACGCCTTTAATCTTCCTTCTTGATTGTTTAAAAAATTTCAAAATTGGTAACATGATTGATATTAATTCTATGTATTAAGACAATTAAATTTTAATACCTTTACAAATTGATATTTAATATTTTGAAACAAGAAGCTATTTTATGATTACAGGCTTATATTAAACAGGATGGCATATATAGTGTAGTAAAATAAATGTTAAAATTGGCCTAAGACGACAAATACTTTTTACACATAATGCGTATATTACGAAGAGTATGAATCATCGAATTTGCGTAATTATGCAATGAGACATTACTAAATGACACAAGACTAAAATTAGTATATATATACATTTAGTATAACGCACACATATTTTTGATTAAAAAAGTAACGGTAACATAAAGTTAAAATATTCTATAGATTATTATATTTCTAAAGATGCATGGGACTGTCGAACTAATTTTAAATAGTGCTTTATTGTGGATATTACTGGAAGCAACGTGGACCGTGTTAGTGAGCATTTTATACAGTTTCCGTATACCTTGGATTTTTTGGGGTTCTTTGATTATATTGATTGGATTGAAACTAGTCCGAGTTCCACCTCCACGTGCAAGTATTGTGAATGAAGTACTCGGTGTGAATCCCTTTTTTATAGGAAAGGAAATACACACGACTGACAACCAGGGTGATGGAGAACGATATTGCATGTCTGTTGTAGCTCATCGTGGTGGAGGATATGATTACCCTGAGAACAGCTTGTCGGCTTTTCAAAATGTAAAATTATATGATTTAATGAATTGTTTTCTTTTTTTACATTCATTCTTGTCATATTTATAGGGATGGGACACACAAAGATTAATTATTCAAAATATTTCAAATGTTAGAATTTTAATATATTGTTATACATTATTAATTTATATATTCAAAGAGTTTATTAATACATTGATGGCTTGAGTTATTATTTTCTTCATTTGATGAATTTTCAAAGCATTTGTAATATTGTGTTTATTTGTAATACTTTTTACATCGTTTGTTAAGTAAAATAATCAGTTGCTTGCTCTGGTGTGGCTTAAAAACAAATACTAATCGAGTAGTTGTAATGTTTTAAATATTTATATTACTTTTTCAATATTATAACTATTAACCATACTTATATTAAAAGAGAACGAAATACTCCAATTACTTTGTATGGCTAACAAAAATATTTTGTTTTATTATAATTACAAAAATTTAATATATCTTTTTTATATTTATATTATTCAATGTAAATTATTAATTATATTTGTTATTTCGCAGAGTAAAGATAAAGGATGTACTGCAGTTGAACTCGATTTAACTCTTACAAAAGACAACATTCCAATAGTATTCCACGATGCCAATATTGAAAGACTTACGGGTCAAAAAGGTGTAGTTAATGAAATGACCTGGGATCAATTAAAGGAATTAGATATCTCATATAATCATCCACTTAAGTATTTAATATAATCTGATTATTCTATAATCATAGTTCTTTTTCTTTTATTCATAATATAGTTGATTTTTTGTTTGTATTAAAGGAATAAATTTTCTGAGGGAGAAAAAATTGCGTTATTCAAAGATGCATTACAAACATGTTTGAAGAACGATTTGAGAGTGATTATTGATATTAAAGAAACAAGATTAGATGTAATACAAGTAATATTAGACGCTTATAAAGAAAATCCAAATTTATTTAAGAAAGCAGTTGTTTCAAGTTTTAATCCTGTGATTGTATATTTGGTAAGTGTTTAACATTTATATATATATATATATATTGTAAAAATTGATACAAAAAATTACCTTAAAACACAAATAGAGAAATATATTTATTTTTTCTTATAAACAAAATTTAGATTAGAAGAAAAGAACCGCGCATTGTATCGAGTTTAGCTTGGAGACCACATTACTTCTCAAGAGAATCTTATTTAGGAATAAATGGACCAGGACCATCGCGTTTCGTTAATCCATTTAAACATTTGGCAGCTTGTATAATGGACGTTCTATACGAATGGGCATTACCAAGTTTTATTTATTATATTGTAGGAATATCTACTATTCTTTTACACAAGGATATAATTAATCTGTAAGTTTATTGTTGATATCGAATATTGAAATCATGTATTAAAAATTTAGATAATACTCAATGTAGAGTTGTTAACTGCAGAGCATTCAGAAATAAAACTGAATATCTGTAAGTGCTGTTTGCAATCAAAGGGTTAATTAATTAAATATAAGAATTTAAAAATCAATTAATTTTTTAGGCGTGTTATCGAAAAATGGCATGATCGGGGAATTCGTGTGATGGCATGGACCGTCAATTTGCCATCAGAGAAATTACACTTTTATAGGCTCCTTAAAATAACGTATTTAACGGATACGTTGTTAACAGAAAAAGTATAATAATACTATAATATTTATTCAGTATTTAATAAAATGTGTGTAGTACCGATATTGTATTCTTACAATTTGACAATTTTAGCACAGAGTGCATAACATTTGATATTCTAGTCTATTTATCGTATATCGATGAAAATGATTTTGTACATCATTTTTTAACTTATCGCTACATTTTTAACTTAAAGGAGGTTACTTTATTTTATATAACAAGACTGGGAAATATGCTTAGTATTATTTTAATCTTTTTTGTAAATTATAATAATTAAATCTTTACAATTTTTATATTACATAAAGTAGATCCAAATATTATATAAAATATTTTCTTTTTGTTCGATTATTGCAAATGATATATAAAAATCTTACCATATATATATATATAATTTATAATTTGATTAAAGTGATATTACCTTGTATATTTAAATTTTCATTTCAATTGAATTTAAATGTATTTACAATATAACAATCTTTTTATATCTTTCATCAAAACGTTTTACTATTTCATTTATTTTTAACAAGGTGGTTACACTTGATTTTTAAAATTTATATTACTACGTTTTTCGTAGTCAAATGTGGACGGAAAATAATAATATAATTATTGTCATTGACATACAAAATGTGTCTTATTCAGCTCTTTGCTTATAAAATCCTCAAACATTAGTAGTGAGTTTAGTTCTACGAGATTCCATGCCTTCAATAAGATCAGTTAACAGATCTTCCATTTCTGTTGCTGCTCGCTTTAATTTGCAATTATCATTGACAACGTAGGACTCTGTATGCAATAAGAATACTTATTATTATAACAATCATAAAATGTAAAAAAAAAGTACGAGTAGAAATACAAACAACATATAATTTTCTTATAGATTATTCATAATATTAAATATATACGATATTTTTATAACTATGCTAATAATTATTGTCGTCGCATAACAATCAAAAATAAACGAAAACTATTTTTAGCGTTACTTACCTTCCAGTAAACAATCATTTGCAACCATGTTCTGCAATCTATCTAATATATCGTTGAGATCTCCTTGAATATTTTGTAAACTACTGTGTTGCGAATGTTTATCTGGACGTTGTAAAGAAGAAGGTGTATTGTCTCTTTGAGGTCCAATGGGAGAATCAGAAATTGTTATCGGTGATTCATTGCAAGCAATATTTCCTATTATAAGTTTATTTGTTTGTCTATCGTCTTTGTAATTAGGATCTCCGTTATTTAACCACTGAGAAAAGCCACTGTCGGATATACTTAATTCTGATCGTTTTCCTAAATATAACACAGATGTGAAAATAACATAAAAACGTGCATCGCATATTTTTTTATATTACATTTTAAGTGCATGCTATTATTGTAAAGTAATGATTTTTACCTCCAATCCATGTGCTCAATTCTATACACGTACTACTAGGTGCTTTAACAAACGTAGAACTTGTAGAAGCTTCTTCAATGCAAGAAAGACCATTCGTATCATTTTTGTCTAATGATGTATTGAAATTATTTGAGACTTGTTTTTTGTTCCTATCAGCTACATTAGACAAATGTCTTTCTAGATTATCTTGACGTATTATCGGACTTAATTCAAATTCTAAAGGTAAAGCTGCGACTCTTGCAGACAGTGGAAGCATTGGCGTGCTTTGTAGACGATTAATAAATTGTGGAGGATCATAAGAAGTATCTGCAAATAAGTATTTCTGAAAAATAAATTTAATAACGATATTAATAGATTATCATAATATTTCTGTAAGAAATAATTTTTATTATAATTGTATACTTTTAATATTTTTAAACGTTGTAGTTGGGACTCGATAGTAGCTCTATGACGATGAAGTCTTTCGGCTCTAGCTCCTTGAATATCAAGTAATTCTATTTGAAGTTGCTTGTTTTCTTCTTCCAAATGTGTTATAATGCTTTGTAATTCCTTTTGAGGATCACTTAAAATTTTTCTTTTTATTGTACTTCTTAATGTGGAGCAATCTGATTGCTTTGTTATGCTACTGAAATATAAACGATGAGATAGAGAAAGCACATAAGCATTAACAAATAAAATTTATAATTTATTAACAAACCTAACAGCACTTTGTTGCAATTCTTCTGGGCTCATTATAACCATTTTGGAAGGACATAATCTCAATTTGTTTCTAATTAATTCAATAATTAATTTTGTTGCTTCGCGATTAGATGTCTACGAAAGAAAAATATTAATAAAATTTCTCATTTATATAAGATAAAAATAAAAATAACATACCTTCGCACAATACTCCCTTATTGGATGTTTTAATTTATGTTTATTGGTTGTTTTACCAAGTAAAAAACATTCTTGACATTGATGATAGCCAGTACACTTCAAGCACGAATATTTTGGTCCTTGCACTGGTGTTATTTTACAAGAAGAACACTTAATATTATGTACAACTAAAATAATAAATTGTTTGATACAAATTCTTGGAAACATTATGTTGAACAAAAGTATGCGAAATATTATTTTAAAAAATATACGCGATACTCACTATTTTCTGCAGATTTCATTCTGTTGAATGTTGTTATCCAAACAAGTAAAGGTGGTTCTTGCATAATCCATGTGGAAAATTCAGATTCAGTAACTCCTAAACATCCTTGAGACTACAATTGAAATATAAAAAATATTAAGTATACATTAATTATATTTTATAATAAAATATTGAAATATATCATGTATTACCTTTTCAAAACAACTATCGATATGCAATTGAATAAGATGATATCCATAGGTCATATTTTCTCCAAGCATTTCTGTTATTTTACATATGTTAGTTAACAACGTATTCAGACCTGCTCGAGAGAGACAAGCATTATGATCGGCCAACTGCTGATAAAGATATCCGTACTTCTCTTGTAATCTTCCACAGCTCATCAATATCAAAGCAAGTTTAACGGAAAAAACGGTAATACTTCTAGTGTTTTTCCTGAAATTTTGCATACTTTTTAATATAAATTCTTATAACAATATTAATTAATACTTACTTGTCGAAGGTACATAAAATATAATTGACAGCATGCTTAGTTACATGATCCATATCAAAGTCAAAGTTGGATTCTTTGCGAGCAGCAAAATAAATATCTGAGAGAACGTCTTCTATTTCGCTTGGATCCAAGTTTACCGAATTTTCTGTTATTGATAATCTATGACGTTCAAATACACCAGCTATTAATTCTAGCTGTACGTGTTGCACTAAAAAACAAAAAGTAAATAATTACATATTATTTAAACATATAAGATGTTTAAATATGTTTTCTATTTAATAATCTACTTACTCTGAAGTTCTCTGTGTATTACTTGCATCTTAACAGCAGTTCTGTATGAAGCATAACGTATAGCGTTACAATCTTCTACGGAACGCATGGTATCCAACATTGCTATTATATTTAATGTAAAGTTCAACTAATTTAATTGTGAGTATATCAAATTGATATTATTGTTACAGTAATTGTTTTCATATTTTAAATTAATATTATATTCAAAATTACATACATTTTTTATTACTTTCGTTTCATAAATCAATGCAATTAATATACCAAATTTAATATAAAATAAAAAAATATTCAAAATATATGCATCTGTATTTCTATTTTCATTATAATATATAAAAACATATAATTTATGTAGATAAATATCTTTAAAAAATAGTTGAATTTACGTTAACATAACATTAGTTAACATACTTTAAGTTAATCCAATAATACAATTGTACATATACTTTGATATATTTTAAATGTTGAAAGTAAACAAAAAAACGCCTACATAAAAGTCATAGAATAAGTAATATACAAAGAATGGCGCTTTAATACAACCATTGGAGCAGTATTTCTAGTTCGTGACAAGGATCACGAATATATATAACACTTCCGCTTTAAGGTACCTAGCTAAGGCCATATATGTAATACTTCTATATGGACAGTTTAAATGGGAAGGAATGTCCCACCATATATGTAATACTTCTATATGGACAGTTTAAATGGGAAGGAATGTCCCACTATTAAGATGCCGACATATACTATTTTCTCTCTCGTCCGAGATACTTGGTTCACGTTGCGCATGCTTGAGAATTCCCCATGATATTAATAGAGGGGGAAGAATGAGGGGAATAATTTTGTGGTTATGATTCTGTTTACAAATATATTTATTATTGTAATTCAGAAAAACAATTATAAATTTTAAAAAACTTTTGTTTTTATTTAAATAATATTCTTTTTCCAACAATCAGTTATTGAAAAATGGTGAAGTTGTGTTATTTATGTGATAGAAAAGCGTCGAGAGCTGACAATATTTCTTTGCATCAGTAA